GGTGAATTCGGGGATGTCGACACGGAAACCCGACTCCCAACGCGACGCATCGCCCCCTTCTATCGGACGCATGCCCCCGCGCCGTTCATCGAGACCTCCTTGTCGCCCACCCGCATCATCTCTGGCCCGCCGATGTCCACCGTGACGCCACAGTCCCTCGCCGTCGCTGCACTCGTCCTCCACGTCCGAGAAGTACCCGAAGGACGGAGGTCCGCCGCCCTCTGGTGGTTTCCCTCGCCGACGCTGATCGACACCAAAGTCCTCGCCGTGCCAGAAATCGTCATCTACGTCGCTGGCCATGGCGCGATGAACCTGAGGACGCCTCCCATCCCTAGCCGCTGGAAAACCTAATTGGTCGATATCCCTGTCCAGGTTCTTGCGCGCTGGAACCCTTGTAGCCCTACCCCGCTCACGCGCCTCAGCCGCGAAAGGGTTCATGCCGGAGATCGTCTCGTTAGAATCGTCACTGGATTGCAGTGGTGGCGGCGATCGATGATGGGGCGCCCCGTCAAACCCTCGACCTCCACGACCCCCACGAGCCCCACCGCGATGGCCCCGGTTCGTCCCGTCGCGATTTGCACGAAATTCGGTCATCATGGTTTGCATCGTCGACCGTATCTCCTCTATACCGGCTGAAAGGTCCGCGTGACGATCATCCATGGCCTGGAAGCGGTCCTCCAGTCGTTGAATTCTCTCGTCCATGGCGGTATCCTTCTTAGGCGGCATCGTGGATCGATAGCTGGTCTCTGGATACCAACTGATGTAGAACGTGTGCTTGGGATGCTTGAGATACTCTCTCAAGACTTGTAAATAAGAGATACTCTCTCTTGCAGAAGAAGAACAATAATTTTTATTTCAACGATGAATGAATTACATCTCATCTTTCTGTTCAATAAATAGAGAAAAGAGTTCTACTCTTGCTTAACAAGTGCAAGAGGATTATTTATTTCCTAAACTAGGCATGATAATTAAAGACATCAAATAAATAACAAAAAGAAACTAAATAACAAAAGATGATGTAAATAATAATACTAAATGTTGAGCCGGTCGAACTTGTCTAGATATACTAAAGCGGTCTCGTCGTCATCACTTTCTCATACCAAAATGACATGCCAGATCCAACGCCAAAATAATATTTTTTATAGGTATAATCACAAATTGTAATAAATAAACCGTTTATATTAATTTATTTTGTAATGTCTATAACTATAGAATTAAATAATAAAATGAAGATCTTACAACTTTCATTAATTGCTCTCTCATCTTCTTTCTGTTTCTCTGTCAGTTCAATGTGTTCGTCATATTTGATACTTTGGTGTGGATGAACGAAGACAATCTATATCACAACACTATAAAAAAAAATGACACATTTCAATGAAAAAAATGATAATATATCTAGGAAAAAATGCACTATTCGTCCACTAATTATACACTCGTTGCACTTTCGTCCTTTAATTGTTTCCGGTTTATAATTGGTACACTAACTTCTT